TTTTTTTTTTTTTTAGTCCACAAAAACATTTTTATTAACCCAGTAAGTGAAGACCCTGTCCCTTTGTACCCCCAACCCCTTCAAAAGGATGGAGCTGGATAAGGGGAGAAATCTGGGATGGAAGTATTTCCTATCCCTCAAAAGTAGAAGACTGAAGAGAGGAAGAGGGGCTGTGCAAATAGGTCATCAGAGGTCGTGCGGAGGGGAGTATTAAACCAGGATGGCAGCTGAAGAGGTAGAGGGCGAAGGGTCTGTTGAAGACCCAGGAAAGACAAGAGGTGCTGGAGCTAGAGAGCCAAATGAGGAGGGAGGTGTGGGGCTGGAGCCCAGAAGAGGGGTCCGTTCTGAGGCAGGCTGGTCCCTTGGCTCCCCTTCCTCATCACCCTCTTGCCCCTGGGTTTCTTCCTCCTGCTCATCATCCCCAGGACCCCGATGCACAGGCTGCTTGCAGATGGGGCAGGTCTTCCGGGTTTGAGTGAGCCAGGGGTCCACACAGCGGCTGTGATAAGCGTGAGCACAGGGGAGTACCCTCAGCTTGTCCCCATCCTCATATTCATCCAGGCAGATGGCACACACATCATACTGGTCTCCCTTCTGATAGTCATGTGTAGGGATCTGTTTCAGCTGCTCTTTGGTCAGTCGATTCCGCTGGAGTCGTTTCCTATGCTGGATGCAACGAACTATCATCACTGCTCCCATGGCCAAAACCAGCAGTCCCACAATCCCTGTGAAAGGGATGAGGTAATAGCGCAAGGGGAAGCTATTGTCTGGGACCAGAAGCACCCGAGCCCCCTTCTCGTAGACAAAGAGGGCACGCAGGTACTCGGAGCTCCTCTCCCCAATAAACACAGACGGGATCCAGATCTGCTGCTGGATTTCCTCACTATTCCACACCATGTTCAGAAGTTCATTGGAATTCACATTGTGTACCACAGCTGCACCATACCCAGCCTTCTGAGCATTCAGGACCTTGAGGTCAAAGTTGCAGTCGAATCTTCGAAGCAGTGCAATAAAGACTGACCCGTTGACCGGGGCTGGGGGTGGCGGGGCAATGGGGCTGCAGGCATTGTCTGGGTGAGCCTCCACAAGGAAGCCCTGAAGTCCCTCCTGGCTCAAAGCAGCCCCAAAGAGAGCTGGGAGGTCTGCAAAGTCCATGCTGGCATTGTGGTCCGAGATCGCTCGAATGAGCCCCCGGCTGGGGGCCGCTCCCCACAGCACAGTGACCACAACCACAGGAAGCGGGAAGGCCGCAGGGTGCATGGCAGCGGGAGGAGAGGCGGAGGGGGCCGCGGCCGGGCAACAGGAACAGAAACGGAGTTCTGCGCCCTCTCTGGCCCTCCTTCAGGATCCCAGGGGTCCAACCACCCCCAGGTCCCACTTCCCAGCTACATGGGGGCTCGGGGAAGGACCTCCGACTTGGGGAGTGAGGTACCCAACTAGTCTATTGGAGCTGGGAGGGAGAGACTAACGATAATCCTTTTCTGGTATAGGGGACAGAGACCAGCACAGGTGACAGAAAAACTTCTGGAAGGGTGGGGGAGCTCAAAGGGGTGGGACTTCCGGCCAGGTGGGCCGTCTTCCCATCCCCTGGAAAAGAGTTTCCGGCAAAGAAAGTCAGGCCGCTTCCAGCATCGGACGCTCACGACTAAGGACTTCCGGTTCTGTCCTCCTGGCCGCTGCGGTGCCTTCCAAATGTGTTCTTGATGTTGTGAGTTGTCTCCAGTGTTTGACAGCCCATTTGAATTCAAATAAAAACACATTGCTCGAATTTGCTTTTTTGTCTAACATCATTTCAATAGTGTAAAATAAATATAAAATAAACTGCAAGTAATAAGTCATTAGCAAAAAAAGATAAAGTGAGAAATGTGCATTAAAACGATAGATAACATAATATTTATTTAAGAATGTGTTCCAATATCAAACGGCAAAGTTCAACAATGCAAAATCACAATTAATTTTTGCAGCAATCTAATATTACCAAAAAAGTAAAGGCAAAAATTCTCACATTCTTATCCACATGTCTTCTTAAGGGAAAAGTTAAAGTGAAAGTTGCTCACTCTTGTCCAACTCTTTGCAACCCCATAGAATATACAGTCAATGGAATTCTCCAGGCCAGAATACTGGAGTGGGTAGCTGTTCCCTTCTCCAAGGGAACTTCCCAACACAGGGATCAAACCCAGGTCTCCCCAAAACTACTAATAGTTAATTATATAGGGAAGGAGGGGACAGGATAGATAAGAAGGGATTGCAAACTACCGTAATATTTTTTAAATGTACTTTGTAAGTTATTGTTATATTCTAAATAGTTTGTCAGTAATGATTTTCATTTCTTACTTTGCTTGAATATTAGTAGTCTGGTATAATATCTCCTTATTTATTCATTTACCCATCCATCCATCCAGGGGAACCAGTATGTAGCTACTGTTTGTTTGCAGATGCTCCTAAGGATTAGAAGACTGTTCAGAACACAGCTTTATTGCATTCTTTTTCTACATGATTGCTTCTAGTCTGAGTGATTTAATATCACCTTACTAGCTTATTCTCCTCATTTTGACCACTTTCTTCTAACTATCTGTGAGGTACATTTTGATATTATTATTTGGTACAAAAAAAACTGTGCTTTGTTACATTTTTCATTGTATAGAGATTACATCTTGAGAACTGAAGATTACATGAAGTGAAGAACAGATAGATATTCTCAATAAGAAATTACAAAACCAGACACTCCCTGATGGTCTAGTGGCTAGGATTCGGTGCTCTCACCACCCCAGCCAGGCTTTGATTCCCCATCAGGGAAGCGTGTCTTCAAGATTTCCTGTTGGCTCAGATGGTAAAGAATGTGGGAGACCTGGGTTCAATCCCTGGGTTGGGAAGATCCCCTGGAGGAGAAAATGGCAACCCACTCCATTATTCCTGCCTGGAGAATTCCATGGATGGGTTATAATCCATGGGGTTCCAAAGAGCTGGACACAACTGAGCATCTAATACTTTCACTCACATACTTTATTGACGGAACCCAAATACTCTCAGACTGGTCATTCCAGGACTAAGCAAGAGAAAATGAAAGCAACTGCAGAAAGTTCAAATAACTTGTATTCGGTCACACCACTAGAAAATATTGGAGCCAGTATTCAAGTCATACTCTCTCTCCCACCAATCAGAGTCAAGTCAGCAAGCTTTAGAGGTATAAAATGATGGAACTGATTCACCTAGGCAGATTCAGCTAAATCCTAAAAACCTTGCAATTCTGTTTTGAAGCTGACACAGATCAGTTACTAAAACTCAAAGCTTGCCAAGTGTAGGAAACAATGTGCATTCTGTTTAAGACTGCAAATGACTATACTTCCAAAATAAAACTAAATCAGAAATAAACTTTGTCATCCAAATGGGAATGCCAAAGGAATTTTTCATGAACTTGCCTTTCTCAAGTATGTCTTGACCTAATAATTAACTACCACAAACCAGCCTTGTGGCTAACTCATGCTACGTATAGGAGTCTGAAATTTTTCCAGGGATAGAATTTGAAGAGGCCTCAAGTTGGATGCATTCTGAAGAGAATGGCTCAAAGAAAAATATTAATAATTTATAAAAAGATGAAATTATATCTCTATATTATACCCATCTTACAAAATTAACCCCAGGTGGTTCAGGAATTTAAAAGTTACAGCAGAAACTTGAGCATTCTTAGTGGAAATTATAGAGAATGTCTTTAGACCTCATGGCAGAGCAGGACTTAAGAAAGACAGAATGAACTTAAAGACCGATAAATCTGACTATATTAAAATTAAGAACTGTATTCCTAAAAAACACCTTTAAAAAGGTGAAAAAACAATTTAAACTAGAAGACATTCACAGCATACATGATTGAAAAGTAGTAAGACTGAGGGAGAATATATGAAAGGGAGAACTTACCCATATTACTTTATATCCTCAAGGCTTTTTTTTTTTTACAATATGCATGTATTATTATGTTCATTTAGAAAATTAAACTGAAATAAAAGTATCCAATAAAGCTAGATTCAATATCTTCTCTTGGATTACTGTTAAGGACTAGATGATGCGGATGAGGGAATTCAGTACATTAATACCATCCCCCTTACGTAGATGATCAACATCTTCCATTAAAAAGATGTAAAGAACAAACACATCCGAACTAATGGTAAGTGTACAGTCGTTTGTACAGCAGATGCTGTCTATACAACCATTACCAAACAATACTTGTCGAAATGCACTATGGAAAGAACAGGAGCACGCGCAGGCTACTCACACAACCTTCAGGACAATAATTTCCTGTGGGGAGAGAGGAAAGGTCTTTAGTGGCATCTGTTTTAAACAAGAGAGAAGGCAAAGGCGGGAAAAATTAACACCTTGTTAAATGGGGCGAGGGGAGGGGGTGCATGAGCGTTAAACAACTTTTTAAACTGTGAGAAATCTTCACAATTGAAAATTTTAACTAAAATTAAGAACACTGAGAAGAAATGTTCATCAGTACTCGCTGTTTGAGGATTTTGGAAGTAAACGACTTTTGACTCCACCTGCTACATCTTTTGGAACGACCATGCCTGATGACTGCATTTTAGACACGACGCACTTGTAGGAATGATTCTAAAGCGGCAACAAACCAGAGTCGGAATATGAGAGAAAAGATGCAGATTCTAGGAGCCCGCCCGAGGCCTGACCCGACCAGGCCTGGCCTGGACCCCACTTCATGCAACCACACGATCTGGAATTACGGACGCCTCAGGGTCAGCCATTACTCGCCTGGCAGCCCCTCCTAGAGTCTCCAGGGCTTCACGCTGAGAAGATGCTAGGGTATCACGCTGCACATATGCGGCAGCTCCAGGCGCCAGGATACCCGCGCGCGTTTGCGCCCCTGGGCCGCGATGTGGCTGGGCGCATGCGCACCGGAGGGGGCGGGGCCTGCCGGAAGCGTAAAGGGCCCAGGCTTCGCGCGAGTCCCGAGTCCCGCGAGAGCTGCTCTTCTCGCCTGTGGTTGGAGCATGGTCGACGATGCTGGCTACTCAGAGGCCCTTGGGGACAGGCTGCTGGGGTTCCCGCGTCCCTCGCCGCGGGTTCGCATCCGGCCATGGTGGTTTCCTGCGCAGGACTTGAGGAATCCGTTGGTGTTCTTCCTGGAGGCGTGGCTGGCCGACTTGATCTTTGGTGTGCGACTCTGGGCCTAGCGGGCCTCTCAGAGCCGTCGAGGGCCACGAGCCGCGCCGGGTCCCAAGCCGTCACGTCCCTTCGTGGCCAGCGTCTCCCGCCCCTCACCCGCACTCTTCTCCGGCTTTCCTTTCGTTTTCAGGCCCAGACCGATCCTTGGTTCCAGAAATGGAGTGGCTGAGCCAGGCCCTGCTGATGGTGGACGCTGTTGACGCTGGGAACGTGGTCGAAGTCACGGTTTTCGCGCGGCCGGCAGTCCAGCGTCAGGTGAAGAGCGTGCTTCTGAGCCAGGCGTCAGTGCTGCGGGAGCAGCACGCCCGAGGTGAGGGGCTTGGCAAACACGCCTGGGCGGCAGGCAGGGGGAACCGCCTAGCCTTACATGACTTCTTTCCAGCCTCTCGTCTTCCCAAAACTGCTTGCAGTGTCCCAGCTCCATTTTGGTGGTGATCCCTGGGCCTCCCTTGAGAGAGGAGTCCAAGCAGGACCCTGAGAAAGTAAGGCTGAGACATGCATTCAGACACCTACTGCCGGTGCTGGCCTCGGCTCCCTCAGCCCACTGATTCCAGATCCTAGGTTCAGACCTTCCACCCAGAGAAATGATACTTCCAGCACACCCCTTTCCCCTTGGAGGAGGAGTTTGAAACCCAGCCTTTTTCCTTATCCAGCTGAGACGATGGAACAACTTGAGGAATTCCTGAAGGCCCAGGCACCAGGTCCACAGGTGCCCCAGCATCCTGTTGCATGAGTGTTGTCAGGAGCGTGAGCACAGTCCTGCTTCTGCTGCTAATGTTCAAGAGAAGCCAGTATCCTTAAATCTCTGCCCTTTCCCCCCTGTGTCTTGATGAAGTATAGTGGTTTGATTATTTTGCTGCAAACCTGAGTTTGTAGTGCCATGCTAGTTAATAAATGAATTTCATTTTTGTCCGAAGGCATAAAGATCTTTGCTCACTCAAAATTAAGCAAATTTATAAAAGACTGTTCATTCTTGTCTTGATGTGAGAGCTGGGTAAAAGGCTGTTAGGTGGCGGGTTTCTCTTTTTTATTTTTCTTGGTTGTTACCATTTTGAAGCTCTTAACCCTTTTATGATTTTTATGGTCAGATTCGGGCCCTTACATGCAGAGGCCAGAAATGCAGGGTCAGTCAGCTTTGTATTTCTTTTGCATCATTTGTTCTCAAACTTTAGTGTAAGAATCATCTGGACAACTTTCTGCAACACAGCTTCCTCAGCTCCTTCTGCACTGATTCTGAGTCAGTACATCAGGCCTGTGAATTTGTATTTCTAACAACCTCTTAGGTAATGGCAGTGCTTGTCCTATGAGGCTGTCACTTTTAAGCTGGTATTTGGCTTCAGAATAGCACCCAGTGTGCCATGTGTTTTCTTAGAGTGGAGTCTCTGACCTCGAACGTGGAAGGGCATTTCAACATGCAAGCTGAGGTGATCAGCATTCATTCCTTCTGCTGGGGCTGTAATTCACCAGAGGAGCCAGGGTCCAGGGCAACTGGTGCACTGAGAGGTGTCCTTCCAGCCAGCTGTCTCCCCACATCCTCCCCCAAGCAGGTGTCCTGCATGGGCTGAGTTGTTTTTCCATTACCTATACAGTGATGTGACCAATCTGTGCAAAACAGTCCCAACCACACGCTGCTTCCACTTTCCGGAAGCAGAATAGTTGGAGGAATGATTGCCAAGAGCTCATGGTTTTAGACACAAAGTTGGAATTAATTTAGCTCTGACAGTTTCTTCACCCCTTGGCAGTAAGGGACAATAGCACTTTGCAAGGATTTTAAGCACACATACACAAATCTTGGGCTTCCCAGATGGGACAGAGATGCCGGTTTGATCGCTGGGTTGGGAAGGAACCATGGCAATGGCAATATCGGAACAATAGGAAATGGCAATCCACTCTAGTATTCTTGCCTGGAAAATTCCATGGACAGAGAAACCTAGCACCCCACAGTCTGTGGGGTCACAAAGAGCTGGACACAACTGAGCCTCCCCCAACACACACATAAACATACACACATATGCAGGCATTACTTTACTCTTAGTAAAGTCTTCTCTTATCCACACTCAGAAAATTCTGCAGTGAACCTTCTTTTATAAGCATATAATAGACTGTAGCCATTAGATTAAAAGACACTTGATCCTTGGAAGGTAAGCTATGATAGCCTAGACAGCATACTAAAAAGCAGAGACATCATTTTGCCAACCAAGGTCTGTGTAGTCAGAACTGTGGTTTTTCTAGTAGTCATATACAGATGTGAGAGGTGGACCATAAAAAAGCCTGAGCACTGAAGAATTGATGCTTTTGAATTGTGCTGGAGAAGATTCTCGAGAATCAGTTGGACTACAAGGAGATAAAACCAGTCAATCCTAAAGGAAATCAACTGTGAATATTCATTGGAAGCACTGACACTTAAGCTCTAATACTTGCCCACTTAATGTGAAGACCAACTCATTGGAAAAGCCCCTGATCCTGGGAAAGATTGAAGGCAAAAGGAGAAGGCGGCAGAGAATGAGATGGTTAGGTAGCATCACCGATTCAGTGAACATGAATTTGAGCAAACACTCGAGATAGTGGAGGACAGAGGAGCCTGGCATGCCACAGCCATAGAGTGGCAAAGAGTGGGACACGGCTTAGTGACTGAACAACAACACAAATATTTGATTACAAGTGATACTGAACATTGTTCTACTTTGCCTCACATTTTTGTTAAAAACTTTTTACATTTTTCTTTATTCTTTCCTGTCATTACTTCTTTCAACTCTGAAGATAAGGGTTTTTATTATCTGTGTAAGCTTTTATAACAAATAATGGTCCATTATAACCAATATTGTCCAACCATTTGCTGCTCAAGTTTTTTGCATACAGAAGTTTTTATTGTATGTAGTTAAACCAATTACTATTTTCTGTGTGATTTTCCCCTCATCCTCTTCTTTTACAGTTAAGCTTAGGAGGCCTACTTTTTCTCCTTTTGTAGAAATTTGATAAATATTTTTACAGGTTTTTACTGGTGGGATTTTTATAAAAAGTTGTGACTGTTTTTTGACTTTTCAGCATTTAGAGGAAGAAGGTTATGCTTAAAACTTATTCCAGTTTTCCAAAAATTTTCCAAAACTAAGTTACTAAATGATCCTGTTCTCTATTCTTTATACACATTGACATGTTGAAGTCCTAACCCCAGTACCTCAGAATTTGACTCCGTTTGAAATAGGGTCTTTAAAGAGGTGATCAAGGTTAAATGAGGTTATCTGTGAGCCAGTATGACCGTTTTATTAATGAGAGGAAATACAGATACAGGTATGTGCATGACCAAAGCAAAGACAAGGTGAGGCCACAGCAAGAAGGCCCCCATCTCTGTAAGCCACGGAGAGGGGCCTCAGGAGAAACCAGGCCTGCTGACACCTTGAGCTCGGGCTTGTAGCCTCCAGAACTTTGAGAAAATACGTATCTGTTGTTTAAACCACTTTGTTATTTTGTGGCGGTAGCCCTAGCAAACTAATGCAATATTCAATATCTAAAAAGAGCAGTTGCTCTGTCATTCTAATTTTCAGAACTTGGAAGTAATTCTAGTTATATATGTATTGATAAGAGCTTGTGTCACATACCAGGCCTTATGCTAAACATAGGATGCTTGCAGCCTCAGTAATTTGCTGAGGTCACACAGCTCGGATGTGGCGATGCATGAGATTTGAACCAAAACGTTGATTCTAGCATCTCACGTCTCTATTATACTTTCCCATATGCTTTTATTTTTCTCCACGATTGAATTTAGTCTCATTCTCTTTGTGTGCATGTGTGTTTTAAGAGGAGTTAGAATACATTTAATTTATCATGAATCCATAGTATTTGTTATTGTTAAGGGACAAGACAATTTTTTTCCTAACATGTTGCCAGAATAGAAATACCTACTAGTACCATGCTCAAAAATAGCATTGTTGATTTTTCTGATGACATACTTACATCCTCAATATTTTTAAATAAGCTGATACATAAAGTATTAAAGTAATTACAAAATTTCACTGCTCATATAGTCCCTTCAAGTTTTCTATTACTCCAAATATTTTTCTGTAATTTTAGTAAACATTTTATTGATGTAGAGCATTCCATTCATACCAAAGCCATGCATATCCACAGTGTGAAAAGATTCATCAAATAGAACACATCCATTAAGCCAGTAGCCAGAGGGGGAAAAGGCCTTAGTTACACTCCAGAAGCCCCCGTTTGCATCCTCCCCAAGGATAACTACTGTTGTGACAACTGTAATTGGACTCAGTGTAAGATGTGTTCATGTTGCCAGTGGTTATAGTTCCATTGTATCAATAAACCTTAATTTCAGTTTTCCATCCTGTTGATATGTACTTTGATTGTTCCCTGTTTGAACTTACAACAAATATGGCTACTATGAAAATTGTACATAACTTGGTGCATACATATGTGCATTTTTATTGAGTATATATCTAGGATTGAAATTGCTAAGTGATAGCGTGTGTGTAAGTTCAAGTTGCCAAGGTGACTGAACCAATTTCCATTCCTTTCAGCAATGTATGAGACTTCCAGTTGCTCTCCATCTTTGTCAACAATTTTTATTTTAGAGAATTTAGGTATTAGTGCTATTGAACTGCAATTTTTAAAGATGCACTTAGTTGGTTACATACTATAAAAATGTGAGTGTACAGTTTACTTTCTTTTTTAACAAACTTGTGAGTTGTGCCACCATCAGCACAGGCCAGCTTGGGAACTTTTCCATCACTTTACAAAGTCTGTCGTCACTCCTGCCTCCAGCTCCAGGCAGTCTGCTGTCTGTCTCCACTGTCACATTTTCTGGACATTTAAGTATTGATAGAATAATATTCTGTGTAGTCTTTTGCATCTGGCCAGGCCCTCCTGCCGCTCCACTTCGGCTGTGCGAATATTTCTGCTCTTTGAGTGTGGGATTTAGCCCATTCTAGTTTAATGTAATTATCAATATGATTGGATTTGTCTGCCATTTTGCTTTGTTTCCTATCACTTCTTTTTTGTTCTTTTCCTCTTTCATTATTTTATGTCACATAAATTTTTATTTATCATTTTAACAATACTTTAAAGAGATTTTCCCCCTCTGTTTTGCCTTAGGGATTATAAAAATATTAATTTATTACATCCTGCTTCACATTAATGAAAAGGGTAGAAGGAGGAAGGAAAAACAGCTGAATAAGTGAAGACACTATGTTCTTGGCTAGCAAAGTCCAGGGTTGCACATTTGTGGTCAGTCTTCTCAGAACTCAGTGCAATTCCAGTTATAATCACAACCACCGTTTGAGGTGCTGAGGCTATAAGATGAGAGCCTTTTTTATAGTCTTGATTTTACATGTGCTTCAGAAGGACCCGAGAAGGCTGTAATAAAGTTTTTCCTTAGGGTCTAGTGAAAAATTCTGATGCTCTAAATAGTGAAGATGTATATTAAACTGAAGCATACAAGTGGACATAACAGAAATAGCCTGCCACTTACGCTCCATAGCTATATTCCCAAGATTTCCAGAGAACCCATAAACAGCTCACATTGTCAATTTTGATAGCTCTAGTGAGCCCACTGAAAGACATCCTCCACACTAAATGATTCGTTACCAACCTGTTTACACTGACCCTAAAGTGGGCAAGCAGGATTCACTGTTCTCAAACAATCTGCATTTATCGTTTTCTTGCTCACAAATCCTGTTGTTTTTTGGTGCTTCCTCATGGTTAGATCTAGGTTATATATTTTTGGCAAAAGTATTGGGTAAATCATACTGTGTCTTTCACAGTGCATCACATCAGGAAGCACATGTTTTGTTTCCATTCTTAATAGTGATATCCTAAGAGGCCTTGTTTTGATCCAAAGTGTGGAGTTCAGGAATTCTGATAAGGGAAGTAGTGAAATAGTGCCAACCTCGCACAGCCGAAGTGGAGCGGCAGGAGGGCCTGGCCAGGCTGTCACGTGAGCTCCATGACTAGCTCAGGCAGTTTCCAGTCTGTCAACAGTGAACCCTTTTCTTTGGTGCCTCTAGTCAACCTGTTCAAAACCTGTTTAGGCTGACCTCTTTACTAACCCTCAGTCATTTTACTTGCAGAAATGTTCAAGAGTCACTGTTTCCAGAATTTTTCAGGATTAAAAAAAAACTTTTTAGAATTTAAGTAGAATTGACTTAAAGTATTACGTTAGTTTTAGATGTACAACATAGTGGTTCAGTAGTTTCACAGCTTATCCTCCACGTAAAGTTATTACAAAATAGCGGCTCTATGTCCCTGTGCTGCGCAAGGAGGGACCCTTGGTGCCTGTTAACTGTATACACAGTAGCTTGTACCTTTTGGTTATATTCCCCTATCTTGCCCATCCCGTACCTCGTCGTCATTGGTAACCACTAGTTTGTTCTCTATATCTGTAAGTCTATTTCTGTTTTGTTATATATATTAGTTTATTTTTTAGATTCCATATACAAGTGATAACAGCATTTGCTTTTCTCTGACTTAACTCACTAAGCATAATACTCTATGTCCATCCATGTTGTTGGAAATGACAATTTCATTCTTATGGCTCAGTAATATATCTTTGTGTATGTATGTACCACATCTTCTTTATTCATTCTTCTGTTGTTGGACACTCGGGCTGCTTCCATATCTTGGCTACTGTCAATAGTGCTGCTGTGATCACTGACGTTCGTGGATCTCCAGTTAGGAGGCCTGAAGGATGCAAGTAGGAATTAAATACAGTGGTTTGTAATTGAGTAATTTGGGAAACTAATTGACCACTAAGGGGAGGTCTAAATGAAACTGTAACCATCCTCAGGAAAATCAAGCTGCTAGAAAGAGAAAAAAGGTGTATACAATTAGGCAAAGTGCAAGTTAAACTGTTGAAAGGTGTGTACTACTCAGAGCGGGAGGGGAGGAGAGGAGAGGGATCAAGAATGAGTCTTAATTCTTCTCTGATGTAGCCTCAATTGGACCTTTCAGTCTGTATTAAGTCTTAAATGTTTAGGGCTCACTCAGCCTAGGCTTCCCTTGGCTCTTCTGAAAATAGTTGATAACCTGTTTGTAAATTCAGCTTTGCATCTTTATTCCCTCATAAACCAAAAGCTTCTTTTAAATTGGAGTGGTCATTAGCAGTGACTAGAGAGTCTACGACAGACATACCACTGCCTGCTCTTTAAAACTGGGTTTCCTTGTATTTTTAAAATGAAAATTTCATAGCACTAAATTGATTCATGCTTTGATTGGTGTTTTTTTTTTTAATCCTAACATCCAGCTCTTAACAGTTTACTTCTAGTGAGGGGACCAACATCCCAGTCGTCAGGCAGGAACAGGAAGCCAAATTGATAGAGGTGTTGTACACCTTACACAGTAAATTTAAATTTACACACCTTGAATTTACATGTCAAGTATGTTTCAATCTTAAAGTGACAAAGAGCACCCTACTCCTGGGGTTACTAATTGGTCGGGAATAGTTACCAGCACTGCTTGTGTCTCAGTGACTTCACCCGCGCAGGACTTTGAGAAGACCGCTGGATTGCCCTGGCCCTTTCAGTTTTCCCTCCTAGCCAGCAGTTGCTCAAGCTGGTAAGTCACTTGCACCCAGCCATGAGTCCCGGGTTGAAACCAAATTTTCGCGTCCCATGATACTTTGAGTAGAAACATCGCAGGCTTGGAAAGTTTTCCCATGAGGACAGACTCGCCGGCCCTGGAGGTCCCTCACCTTGCAAAGCCAGGCGCGCGCGGTGAGGGAGCACCGGGGAAGCCCCTGACTGAGGCGGGAGAGATTGCGGCCCCGGGCGGGTGGAAAACAAAGCTCTCATCTGCGTTGGGTAGCGGGCCTCCCAGGTGGCGCTGGCGGTCAAGAACCTGCCTGCCAATCGGGAGACGTCAGAGACGCGGGTTGGATCCCAGGGTGGGGAAGATCCCCTGTGAAGAGCATAGCAACCACCTCTAGAATTCTTGTCTAGAGAATCCCATGGAATGAGGAGGCTACAGTCCACAGGATAGCAGAGAGTCAGACCCGACTGAAGCGACTTCGCACGCGTGCACCTCGATCCAAAGCAGTCCAGAGCAATAGCTGCTGCTGGAGGAAGGTGCTTCTCCCTCCGCGTCTGCCAGTTTTTAATAACAGACGTTAGGGAAATTGGATTCTTTATTAGAACTCTTTAGATTCATGTTTGCAAATCTTTAACAGGGAGTGGCGGGGACCAGGGAAATCAAAAATCAAAAACCCACACCATTCTTTTCTCAGCTTCTGCAGCAGAACGGGACCTAGGAGTACAGGGTTCCAGGACGGGCTTTCACTTGGACCTTGCCTGGCTCTCGCTCCTGAGCGCGCAGCGCCTTCAGAAACTGGGATCCCGCGTAACTTCGAGGAAGCTCTGGGTGCCGGCTTCCCGGACTGCGCCGGGGGAACAATGGGTGGCCGCCTCGCGGGCTGCGCCGGGGGACCGCTGGGTGGCCGCCTCGCGGGCTGCGCCGGGGGACCGCTGGGTCCCGGCCTCTCGGGCTGCGCCGGGGGACCAATGGGTGGCCGCCTCGCGGGCTGCGTCGGGGGACCGCTGGGTCCCGGCCTCCTGGACTGCGCTGGGGGATCGCTGGGTCCCGGCCTCTCGGGCTGCGCCGGGGGACCGCTGGGTGGCCGCCTCGCGGGCTGCGCCGGGGGACCGCTGGGTGGCCGCCTCGCGGGCAACGCTGGGGGATCGCTGGGTCCCCGTTTCCCAGGCTTTCCCGGGTGACAGCTGGGTCCCGGCCTCCCGGACTGCGCCGGGGGACCGCTGGGTCCCGGCTTCCCGGACTGCGTCGGGGGACCGCTGGGTCCCGGCCTCCCGGACTGCGCCGGGGGACCGCTGGGTCCCGGCCTCCTGGACTGCGTCGGGGGACCGCTGGGTCCCGGCTTCCCGGACTGCGTCGGGGGACCGCTGGGTCCCGGCCTCCCGGACTGCTCCGGGGGACCGCTGGGTCCCGGCCTCCTGGACTGCGTCGGGGGACCGCTGGGTCCCGGCTTCCCGGACTGCGCCGGGGGATCGCTGGGTCCCGGCCTCCCGGACTGCGTCGGGGGATCGCTGGGTCCCGGCCTCTCGGGCAGGAGCCTTCTCAGCCTGGAAAAAGAGCAAAGAGAGGAAGTCGCACCTGTGTCCCATGCGTCCCACAAAGGGGGTGATCCGTTCGGGCTGCGGGGCTAGGGGTCCGAAATCTGAAAACAGGACGTCAGTTCGCTCTTCTAGGTCCCTTACAAAGAGGACACCCTCTCCCAGGAGAACTAAAAGGATGAGACCGCTACCCCAGGCACAGCCGGGAAGCATCAGGACCTCTCCCAAGAACCCAGGGCCTGCCTAGGGTGCCTGTCATGGTTCCCATCCGCGTACTTCGCGCCCGGAGTTGATGGTGATAGTCAGCCAAATTCATGATCATCTTGGATACATCCTGCTGATAATAAGGCCGGCCAAATATCAAGATTTCAGCCTCGCCGTCCGGGTCCCACTGATGAACGTGAAGCAGGGTCTGTGACACACACTCGACGTGCGGGATGAGTTCTCCACCCCGGCCTGCACGGGAGGCAAATACATCGTTAGCAGCGGGGGCGGGAGGGGAGGCGGCAGCAGGGGCGCTGGAGGGCAGCCCCGGCCGCCGGAGAGGCCTGCCGAGGACGCGGCCACCCCGGGGCCGGGCGACGGCCTTGACTTCCCCTCTCGGGCCCACGCACCGAAGAGCGCCTCCACCAGCCAGGCCTCCAGGTGAACTGCCTTCGGGCTCCTCAGGTACTCGGAGTGAAACCAGTAGGGCCGCTTGGTGAGGTTCCCAAGCACCTCGAAGAGCTTCCCTCGCTGCTCCAGCTGAATGAGCGTCGGAAACCGCTTGGGAGCGGCCATGCTGTGGCCACCCCGCCGTACACCGCACTTCAAGGGCTTTTGGCCAGCGCCGCCCCTCCCCGCGCCCTTCTCATTGGCTCGAGGCGTCGCCTCGCAAACCCGCAGCTGCTGCAGCTTCCCCGCGGGCGCAGCTGCTCTGGGGCTCACGCCAGAGCGGGGCTTGAGTCTTCCTCTTATCCGCGCGCCCCGCGGGCGGCCACGGCCGGAAAGCTGCGGAAGCCGTAACGGTGGACACAGAGAGGCTGGGACAGTCCCTGAGATGTTAGGAAAGAGCCCACATCGGGACGATCGCTTTCAGAGGCGCGAATCCCTATTTGCAGAGATCCAGGTGCATTTTTGGAGGCTTCCCTGGTGGCTCCGCTGGTAAAGAATCCGCCTGCAATGCGGAGACCTGGGTTCCATCTCTGGGTTGGGAAGATCCCATAGAGAAGGGAAAGGCTACCCACTCCAGTATTCTAGCCTGGAGAATTCCATGGACTACAGTCCATGGGTCGCAGAGTCGGACCCTACTGAGCGACTTTCACTTTCAGGTGCATTTCTTGGTGCCTCAGACTATAAGAAACCTGCCTGCAATGCGGGAGACTCACGTTTGATCCTTGGGTTGGCAAGATCCCCTGGGGAAAGGAATGACAGCCTACTCCAGTATCCTTGCCTGGAGAATCCCATGGACAGGTGGGCTACAATCCATGGGGTCACAAAGCGTTAGATGGAACTTGGTGACTGCATAGGCACACGCAGGTGCATTTCAGACAGTTCTAAGGGGACCATTTTAGCATTCGTGAAAGGTTGGAATAACTTTTTAATGGAAAAATCTAATTAAAGACATCAGAGAAACAAAAATCTGAAGGAGTGAAAAAGGTATTCAGAGGCCAAAGTAACCCCCCCACACACACATCCTCCTGAACCCTGTCCCTCCCCAGATGCCACTAAATTTCCAACTTCTGCCTTAAACTTTGAGAGATGGCTGAACATACCCAACAGAACATGGTCCACGTGGTTTGGACCCCAAAGGAAAATCCCTTGAAACTAACACGATTGTACCCCCATGACTTGATTTTTTCATCCAGCTTAAAGCATTACCTATTAACCACTACACGGGAAGATGAAGCTACACAGCTTTCCCATCAGTCACACGTTAATCACTCAGTCCTGTCCGACTTTATGTGACCCCATGGAGTTTAGCCCACCAGGCTCCTCTGTCCATGAACTTCTCCAGGCAAGAATACTGGAGTGGGTTGCCATTTCCTTCTCTAGGGGATCTTCCCAAGCCAGGGATCGAACTCAGTTCTCCCGCACTGCAGGCAGACTCTTTACCCACTGAGCGACCAGGGAAGCCCTTCTCATCAGTAGTTGGGGTATCATGCTCAGATCCAGTGCCTGGAGGTCCTCAGGATTCAGGTAGGCTCCTTCTTGTATGCTCCATGGGAGTTCTGAGGCCAAAGAAGTGCATGAGAAATTCACAGGTGTCTGACAGGGTCTAAAAGTCTTGAGACCTAAGCTGAATATGATGTCGGAGCCAAAGAAGGGCAAAATCCATTCCAAGGGGTCATGGGATAGAATTAGAAACTTCTGTGGGAAGGCAGAGCAGCTAAGTGAGCATATAACTGAAACACAAGGATCTGGGCTCCAGAGCCATCTTCTCTGGAGGTTATGGAGTCATTCATACAGCAACTAGGAATTGACATGTGAGGTCCCATCAGTCTCACCTACAAGAATCCAGTTCAGGAAGCATCCCCATGAAAATCTCTGGTGTGCAGCCTCTTTCCAGTATCAAAATGCTTTAGGATGATATTTTTATTCCTTAATTGGCTTACAAGGGTACTGTCAGTTCTATGCATGTTATGTCACCTATGTGTGTGTGTATGTGTCTTGAGATCTTTTATTTCTTTGAAGTTTCAGAATCAGGTATAGCAGTATTTAAGAGAATTGAAACCATAGTATTAGTCCTTCTATTAAAAAACAGCCTCTCATTTATGTAAAATCCTAGAATATGCAAGCTAATCTATAGTGACGGAAGTCAGGGCGTGGTTGCTTAGGGATGGGTAAAAAGGGGAAGGGACTGGAAAGAGACACTAGGGTGCCCTCCTAGTGTTGGGATGATGGAATGGGCCTTATCTTGATTCCAGTGGTGGTTTCACTGGATGTGTCTATATGTCAAAATTGGTCCAATTATACACATTTAAATATAAGCAGTTTAGGACTTCCCTGGTGTTCTAGTGGTTAAGAGTCTGCCTGCCAATGCCAGGGACATGGGTTTGTTCCCCGCTGCAGGCAGATCCCACATACAGCTAAGGCCCTGCACCGCAACTCTCCCGTCCCAGCTCTAGAGTCTGTGAGCTGCTCACAACTAGAGAAACCCCGCAGGAAGCAATGAAGATGCACTGAAGCCAAAAAGAAATAAATAAAGGATAAGCGGTTTGTTTTACTTTAGTGAATCTCCAAAGTGGTTTTAAAAAAGAAAGGAATCCATATATTGGGTTAGCAAAAAAGATCATCTGGCTTTTCTGTAATATCTTATGCAAAAATCTGAATGACATTTTTCGCCAACCCAATACATGGTGTTTTATGTTTCTATAATATTTTAGATAATTTAATATATTAGATGGTTTTGCAATTCCAATTTAAAATATATAATTAAGGAATGGGTTTATATGTGTGACTTTAAGATGAAGTACTAATTTATATTCAATATATTAATGTTTTGTGTGTTTGATTTGTAGGAACTAGTAATTCAGAAAGTGAAAGTGTTAGTTGCTCAGTTGTGTCCCTCTCTCTGTGACCCCATGAACTGTAGCCTGCCAGTCTCCTCTACATGGAATTCTCCGGGAAGAATACTGGAATGGGCTGCCATTTCTTTCTCCAGGAGGTCTTCCTGATCCAGGGATTGAACCCTTGTCTCCCTCATTATAGGCAGACAGTTTCCCATCTGAGCCACCAGGGAAGTCCCGTGGTGTCTAATGTGCTGGGTTAATTAAAATGAGAAATACATTTTTCAGGTAGAGCTTAAAAGCAGTGGGCAACAAAAAAATATAAAAAACAGGTTTCAAGTGAATTTTTGAAATGAAATGTTTTACTTCATGGAACCAAGGGAAAGGTGGTTTAGAGTTTAGGAGTTCTCTTGGAAACCTCACAGCTGGCAAATTTCTTGCTATACTGTTTCTAGATATAATATTGCAGTTCCTTGTAATTCTCAATGGCCGAGTCCTTGCCAGATAGATTGCTTCATTCTAAAGTACTTGAATATTGTACCTAGATGTGAAATATGTGTTTTTAAGTTATTGTTCATTGTCTCCTGGTTTTGGAGTCCAGTTTGGGTTAAAATATTAGCTTTAGAATTTTCAAGAGCACAAGGATTAACCCTTTTCTATGCTCTTCACTACCAGCCTTGGTGAAATACTTGGGAGTGTTTCTGTGTCCAGGGTGTGGGTGGGTTTGGAGGAAGTGGGGGAGGTCAGGTAAGGAACTTGGACTCTCTTGCAGGCTACATGGGGTTCCCTGGCTGCATTCACCTTGAGAACCCCAGGTTTCCCCTCACCAAGTACAGGGTCTTTGAGGCAATGGTTTAGTTATTTTAGTTCTCTTCAGAGAGAGCCATCCTTACATTTTGATGAAGCAAATCCTCTATCATTTTCCTGAGGAAGAAAGCATGCCTGAAAATATTTTCATTCTATCTTCCCAGATGTCCAAAACTGGACATCTGGCGGTATAGTTTCTTGGGTGGAAATAAATTTTCCCTCAAAATCTCATTCTTTCCTTCATTGTTCCCTAGCTTCCAGTGATGTTTCTGAGACATTTAGGCCTTCCCAATTTTAATCTTTGGGAAATACTTTTAAATTATTTTGTTCATCGTTTTTCCCCTTTTGCTCTTTAGAATTCCTGTTATTCAAAAGTTGGCCTTGAGACCCCAGTGCTCCCTTTAAAAAAAAAAGTTTTATCCCTTTTCTTTACACTGTTTTTGGTTGTCTGGTAAGCACTAAAATATTGCTTGGAAGTGGAGCGTGTGGGTTTTTCTCCACTGGACCTGCATTGGGGGTGATGTGTGGACTGCTTGGATCTTCCTGCCGGGTTCTCCACTGAGCGGGCCACCCTGGGTTCCCTGGAGTGTCCCGCCACTCACAGTGGGTCCCTGCACTTGGAGCTGGTGTCCCAGACAATGAAGACAGACCACAGTATCTGTGACCTTCGACTTGGCCGGCCCTGGAACCCCCACCTCCGGCACACAGAGCGAGGGGGGGGGGGAGTGGCTCTGGCCAGCAGTGCAGCCGAGGGAGGGAGCAGGAATCAGTCCCCAGCCAGAGCCCACGCCCAGCCTGAACAAGCAGGCCCCCAGGACCCCGGGGGTCCCCTGGGCAGGACACTGCTGGGCACAGGGAGACCAAGGGACCATCCTGATTCTGGTGATGCTTCTGGGCCAGTGTGGCCAGTGAGTTCCCTTACTGCCTTTCCATCTCTTGAACTGCTCCTTAGGGGCATGTATTTATTTCCCTCCTTGTTTGAGGCTGAAGGAAAACACCTCCAGTGCGAAGGCAGGACACGTTTTTCTGGTTTTCTCTCAGCTTAGCAGTAGGTGGTGCTAGTGGCAAAGAACCCACCTGCAAATGCAGGTGATGCAGGAGACCTGGGTTCGATCCCTGGGTGGGGAAGATCTCCTGGTGGAGGGCATGGCAATCCACTTCAGTATTCTTGCTTGGAGAATCCCACGGACAGAGGAGCCTGGTGGGCCATAGTCCATGGGGTTGCCAAGAGCTGAAGAAGACCGAGCAACTGAGCATGCACTATTAGTAGCAGGACCAGCCTAGAGAGGGCAGAGACTTCACCAAGTCCAAGGTCAATAGAAGGGTGGGCTTTTCCCTGAATCTGGGACATCCCAGTGCAGAGAAGCTCCCTGCTGCCCGGTGTGTATTACAGTTCTTATACACAACACCTTTAACCCACTCATTTAGACGTGGACAGCTTAAGAGAAATGCAAGAGAAAGACACAGATAAACAGCTCCAAATAA